AATAGAAATTAATGATATCGTTTTCAACTTTCGTTCGCACGGGCATTCTATTTCGCTCTGCACTCTGTAGAGCAATAAGTTAATAATGTTTTATTATCGTTTGAAGAAGTCGACCAGTAGGAGATATACCATTCGTTGAAAACGTTTCACCTTATTATAGGGCCTTGATTTCTAAACTTGTTTCTTTTTTAAAATCTTGCTAAACTAACCATTTACAATATGTTTGTGGAGTTACTGAAAAGCTCTTTTGTGCCTAACTTGCACCCGAACCTAACGAACTAGCTTGATTAAGCTCTTGTCTAAAGTACACGTTTGAGATACGAACTTTTATTTGAACTGAGCTCAAGTGCACTAAAGTAGAAATTATCGCTGTTTTTTTTGTTGTTGTTTCATTTATCTTCCGTCAAAATCTAAACTTTATTCCTCTAGTCATTTGGTTCGTCGGTAAACTTAGAGAAGCACAGGCTTTGTGTGTTTAAGAAGAGAGTTAAAAGATCTTCACTTTAGGATTATATATAGACTCTCATACTTCTGACAATTCTGTTCGTTGTGCTTGAAGGGAAAGGTAAAATATGTACTCCATTCTTATTAATTATATCTTTGAAGCTGATATTCACACATCCTTAGTCATTCAATGTGACTTAGTTGTGAAAATTTGTGCGTTTGTCGATCAACTAATTCATCCATGAATTAAAAGTTTAGATTATAGAGGTTGTTTAATTAATACAGAAAGACTTAAACTGTGGTACAGTACATTGGTGGTACGTGGAGCTATGCCGGTGATGCGCGAAAAGTTAATGTAAATTATGAAATTTGTAATAAGCCTAATCTGAGCTTCCCACATACATACAACACTACTATCCTCACTTCTAGACTCATCTCCCAACTGCGTAGACTTGCCAGTGTTTACTTGGCTTAAAATTGAAAGAAATCACACTAGATATTCTTCAATTGTACAAGAAAAACATTTGTATACTTCCCATTTATGTAAAAGTGTTAAAAATATTAATTTTTGTTATTGTTTTTTTCTTTAAATATTTTAAAATTAAGCCTAGATGGTACTTCAAAAATAAAAAAAAGGTTTAAACAAAAAGTGGTACGTGAGCCTGAAAACCGCTGGTTTAATAGGAAAAAAAAATAGATCTCAAACTATAGCAATTATATCATCTGGACTAGTACCTAGGGGTTAAAGGTTAAATTCAGAGACTTACGTTTAATGGTGTTACATCAGATACGTGGGTCAGTCCCACTGGAAAAATATTCTACCGGGAGATCAATTCACCTTTAACTCAGCTAGTTGTTTGTTTTAGTTCTTAGAAAAATTATTGTCTTGTAAAAAATAATCAGTACGAAATACGGCAGAATGGCTTTATTGTGTTCTAACAAAGAAAACTGCGCGACTACTGTGACCACGCCTACAAGGGTAAAGATAATTACACCTGTTATTGAGTTGTCATGTTTACAGTTCACACAGAATCATGGAGTAAATGAATATCGCTAATGACCTGCATACACGCGTGGCATGACGAAGCATAAAAATATCATAATATTGATGAAGATCTTGGTATTGTTTCTTGTCACTAAAGAGATAAATGTATGTAAGTATGGGTGTGTATAATTGGTAACGATGTACAGTTACATATGGAACGATACCCGTAGTGGGCAGAGCACAGATAGCCCATTGTGTAGCATTGTGCTTACAGCTTACCTTTTAGTAACACTTTCAAAAACGCGCCTGCTGTCAAATCCTGTCAAGTTGAAGTTTCCAAACTTCACGAAATGAGTCTCACCTTGTTATTCCCTATCGGTTTGCAAATGGTTCCATACGCCCATTAAAACGGCGATTTTTCATTTGCTATCCACAAAAGGTACTGCAGTAGTCTTTTGCTCTAGCAACATTTTATTGGTTAATCCCTTGCTTCAGTCGAACTTAATTGGTTAAGTACTAAATTTCTTTGAAAACTACTGTTCTTTTCAATCCTTGATACCACGATATTTATTACACACTCCAGAAGTTTGTATTGACCCATATACTTAAAGTAAATTGAAAGAAAATGATGCACGAATGTTTGATTTATAAATAATTTTTCACTTCGATTTCTATTCTTTTTAAGTTCCCCAGAACAGCTTTAGAGGATTGGCAATAATCCGTACATTTGTTGTTATTAAAGAAAAACGTGAATTCGCATTATCAAAGTAATGGCGTTGTTAGAAAATAAACATGAAATTTACTATTTTCGAACATGTGCAACACAGTAAAATTCAGTGCTGTAAATGCCTAAAAATTGTTATTTTATCTTCTATCAAGACACACGGTAGTGTGTCGTGCGGCTAACACGCACGTGCACGACATATTGGGTGTTATTAACAGGAACGATAGTTTAGCAATTTTCCACCTTCTGTAGCTGGGACTGTGGAAATCCAAACTATCATATATTTTCAGTGGATATGCTCTACTGAAACCTTAATTCACATACCATTAAGAAATACACGAGATATAAAATCTTCGATTTTGATTGAAATTTTTCCTTTTTTTTTTCCTCTCACCGAAAGTACGGAAATTTATTTAATACAAAAAATATACTTAACTTTTATGGATTTTTATGGATATATATCTTTAGAACCTACAATTAGGTCAAATTTGGTCTAAATATAAGCCACATGTGCAAAGTTATTCAACAAAAACCGATCAAATTTGACTAAAATTTTTGCGCACATCCACGCGAAAAGTCACGTGAACCATCGATCTGAAGTTTTTACTACAGCTTCACCTAAAAGTAAAAGTGGAAAGATTTTAGTTTTTCTTTTCATTCTGATTAAATACGACTGACTTAGAGCAGCAAAACTATAGGGTGAAAGGACATGCAGATACATAAGTATTGGTTAGGCAAATCAAACTAGAATATCAGTTTCTAGCTCAAGTTCTCAAAGGAATCATACAGGTGAACGGTTATTATTCA